ACAAGAACCAAATAAAATTTAAAGTTACARGTTTCTTTTTTCCTCTCTCTCTTCTTCTTTCTTCACATCACATCACTTATGGTGTTATAAACGAGAGAGGAGATAATATTTTATCCCATTTAAAAAATAATGTACTTATAAATCCAATATTTCATATTTTTTTTACTTCACGTATTTCGTATCAGTAGATATGTCATCCTTCACATATATATTCATGATGTTTTCATTTCCTAACTAATGTGAAACTTTGTTTGCATTCTTATAAATCCAACAAGAACACAGCTTAGCGATAATTGACATATATCTCAAATTAAAAGGTTGTAAATTCGATTCCCTACTCCCCATGTTGTTAAAAAAAAAGAATCCAACACTTCAACCCCAAAAGAATTAAGGGCAAGGTGAATGTGTGTGAGCAAACAAGTGCATCGATTTATTGTTTTCATTTAAAATTTTACTGGAATTGTACATAAATTTCGGATTTTTTTTTCTCTTTCCAATATTTAAAAATACAAATAAAAATATTATACGTTTTACTTATAAAATACATATCAATAACCTGATAATTTTTGTTTTAAAAAAATATACTTTTAAAATCCTACAACTTTGATTTTTCAATTAAAATTTTTTCGACGAATAAGAAATAGAAACAAAAAATGATTATTAAAAATTTTTATGTTTCATTTTTCAAGAAAAAATGTAAAATGTAAAGAAAGAAAGAATGAAAAACATAACACAAATACTCAGGGCACGTTTTTGTTTTTCTTTTCTATAAAATGGAATACAAGAAATAGAGCGGTTGAGAAATTAAATGAAAAAGAGAGTAATAATATTAACAAATGAACCCTAATATTTAACACACCTTTCTTTCTTCTTCCACCCAACCATTCTCTCTTATGCTATGCCCAGTAAATTATGTTTGTGGGTAAAGATTTTGCATCTCCTTTTTCATTAATCTTTTGCAATGTGAATGATATATAACCAAATTGACACAATAACATCACTATCAACCATGTTGGTCCAATTTGATAAACAATAGATCTTATAATAACAATATTTAATATATACAGTGGACATTCATCTATTAAACTCTTGAGCCTATAATTATTAAAACGTAGGAAATACTTTAAAACTCAAATCATATTCAATAAGAACCTAAAAGTCATCCAATTTAATATTATTTTGGAGAAAAAAATACAAGGAATAACTCCAAGAGCTCATGAAAGGGTAAGATAGACGATATAAGATATAATTTATGTCTCCAACAGACCAGCAAACGTACGACTTGGGAGAGCTACAAATCGTACAAGTTGAGATTATAAAAACAATAGACTTTATATGAGATTTTTGGTCATTTATATATCATAGCATGCTGTGCGTAGGATGAAGCACTTGAATTTGTCATTTTTGCAGCAAAAAATGAGGTCAGACAAAAGCATAATGTATATATATAATAAGATATTTTACTTTGGGAGAATTGAAATAGATTAAAAGAAAGTATACAGGGAGACGATAACTCCATATGATTGGTGCTTCATTAACTTGGAATATGCAAAAGAGTTGACAAATGTGTAAAGCTGAATCAATTGGGTGGGTCAGGTGTTGGGAAAATATCATGGTAATCATATAATCCCATTGATTCAGCGGTTTTATTTTGTGCATTTTTTAATGAAGAGGTTCAGATGCACAACTACCAATTTGTCAAATATTGATTGTCTAGTGGCCAAGTAGAGATGGAAAGAGGTAGAAATTAGGGTTGAAAAAAAGTCGGTTCGGATCGATTTTCGGACCTAGAGAAAAAAATTGAAATTGGTTCGATTTATTTATTTATTTTTTAACAGTCACTCCCTCTTGATTTGAGGAATAAAGAAAAGTTTGATGTCAGAGCTGAGGAATAAAGAAAAGTTTGATGCCAGAGCTTACTATAGTATATACTTTTTCAACCACGTTAAATAGCTAATCGCATACATAATATTTACTTTTGAAATTTAAAAGATAATTTCTAAAAGTTGAAACATATTCAACAAGATTCTAAATATCTTTTGAAGTAAAACAAGATTCTAATAATGAGATTTACACAATTCTTAAAAAAAAAAATACAAAATCTTTTTGAGTGTATTGTCACTGGTTAAATCTCGATTTCTGTTATGACTCAAATTCTATCTTTAGAAAAGATATTTGATGTCACGACTCTGAGTCTATTTTCTCAAGTTTCATTCTTCTCCTCCTAATTTTCTCTCCCACGTCCCACCCAATCTCCAGCCACTTTTTCTCCTAATTTCCCTTTTTCAAATTTGTCATTCAACTTCTTTTGCAAAAATGGAAAGTAAGTATGCATTTGGAGAGAGAAAAAGGAAAAAAAAAGTTTGAGTTTAACGGATCGTTTGTTTTTTGAAAATGCAGGTGTTGGGTATCTTCAGATGCCTGAAATTTCAAATGTCCGAAATTTTAGATGTCTGACATGTTCAGATGACCACGTTTGTTTTTGCAGGATTTATTTATGGGAATGTTCTAAATTTATATAATGTTCCAAAAACGCCCTTATGAATATTCATATAATTTATACATTAATCTAATATAATTTGCATTAATAATAGATTTTCTAAATTAATTTAATATTTTAGGTTTTTTTATATTAATTGCATATATGTATTAATTTTTGTATGTTATCAGGTAAAATCATATTAATATAAGACTTTGTAAAAAGTAATTAATATTGAATATAAATTTAATTTTCAACTTTAATATTTTTTAAAAAATACAATTATATAAGGTAAAATTCATTTATTATATTATCAAATCATTTCTTTTAAGAAGAAAAATATCAAAGGTAAGCTGATCGTTAAAAAAATGTTGCTTTAAAATTATGTATTTAAGATAATAGATATCATTCATAATAATTCATTCTAAATATTAAAAGTAAATGGAGATATTATATAATTTAATTGAAGTATATTTTATATGTACATATAATACATAAATATACTTAATTGCTTATAAGCCCATGAGTATATTAATT